ACCCTTTCCCCAATGGCTACCTTTCAATTTCCATTTCACACACATTCCAATTTTTACCCGAAATTTTTCCGATACATAGCCAATGCGAAACGGAAAAGTTTCTCAGATTCTCCCCAAATTCCTACCACCTTTTCCGGACTTTCCCAAAAATTTTCCTACTTTTCCCCTAAAATTTTGCTATCGAACGTGGGGGGATACGACCAGATACGACCCCCCTCCCAGCGGAAAAGTACGACCCTCCTAGGTGTTTCACACAACGATGCTGTACCTTGCCCGTCCTTCCCCTGATATCTCCTCAAACCTGCCGCCATCCCACTGCAATGCTACAGCTCCATGACTCTTTGAAAGGCCATGGGAAAGGGTGCTGTGCTTTACGTCGCTCAAAAATATACGAAATCAAAGAATTTGTCAAGTCAGAGGGTTAGCCACCACAAGCCCAACAGCTGACGGCTGCATTCCTTCATCGCAGCAACTGCTCCATATAAAAATAATAGCAATACGAAATAAATAAGTCAAAAGCACTACGACATTAGCGTTGAGAGCTGGCTCAACTAATGTTCGATTTTGCGGGACTGAGCCAACCATTTCTATGTAAGAGTGTGAAACGTATTCTTGGCTTTTTTACCATCTACCCCGTTGAACAAATAGACGATCCACCGTCAAAACTTAAGCCGCGTCGACACGACTCTGTACAAACTGTTAAACCCTCGACCTTGGAAATCACTTGTTTGAGCGAGGCAAACAAAGTTTACGACGTTGGACTGACTGGACCTTGACCGCATAGAATGAAACGAAAAATCCCATCACCTTTGTAAAGCTTCGACTATTTGATCTTCGCTGTTGAGATATTCTGCAACTGGTGGTATTAACCAGCTTACCATGGAACTTTGAATGGAGACCTGGGTAGATCGATAGAGTCTATAAGGATTTACAAATATAGATAGCAAAACTGCAACCTGCATTTCACAAGCAACTTATGAGCAGGTAAAGTTTGTAATGGTGCAGTAGGGTGGAGGCTTGGTGGTGAGCTGTGAAGCATAAGCGAGGAATCGCATACGTCGAATCGAGTCGTGGTGGTTCAGTGGTAAGGTTCGACGTTCGACGACTCGATTCGACGTATGCGATTCCTCGCTTATGCTTCACAGCTCACCACCAAGCCTCCACCCTACTGCACCAAACTTTACCTGCTCATAAGTTGCTTGTGAAATGCAGGTTGCAGTTTTGCTATCTATATTTGTAAATAACCTTATAGACTCTATCGATCTACCCAGGTCTCCATTCAAAGTTCCATGGTAAGTTGGCGGACTTCCCTGGTAAGCAGCGCGTTTGCCACGCATGCGTCCGTGGTCAGATTTCCAGATCGGCCCCACCCATGCCGCGTAACCCTTCTAGCATCCGGAGCCGGTAAGCAGGTTCCAAATTCACCTGGGAGGATAAAAATACTAGCTTGCACACGTACAACGTCATCGTGTATTGCACGTATACGTCTGCGCTGCCGATGGTAGTTTAGTTCACTTACCTCCCTGCCATTCAGCGAGAGGCGTGAAATGCTAGTGAAACTGCATAGGATTGGTTTCTTTGCGGAGGGGGGGGGGAATGAAGAGGTATTCTATTTTAGACTTACTGAAGTATGGCGTGACTAACCCCATATGACTGAGAATTTCACCGAGTAGACAATTGAGGAATTCGGCCAGTTTCAGGTTTTGAAGACGACTTTTCTGTCTGAAAGATATCCGCACTCAATAATAGTGACTTCACTACACAGCAAACCCGGTCGCATAACGGCCATGGGAAAACTCACTGCGCGGAGCTGTTAGTGGGGTCATATCGCTAACACGAAAGTGGCACTTCTGACTGCCGAATGGACAAGCAAATGTATTTCTCAAGAAATAAAAGGCGCAGTTCGGCGGGCGGGTGTGGGGGGTACTACGCTACTTTTCATCGACTATCGAGCCATGAGGAGAGCCATTTCATGGGCTTACAAGAGCCTGGCTTTCACTATGACGAGCTCGCGAGCATGTTCCAGCTCCGATCAGAGAAGTTCAGTTTTTCACCAGAGTGAGAAACTGGAATTAAAGGGAAGGAAAGTACAAAATGCTCCCCCCCCTCCCCGACTCGCGTCTTCTGCGATTATCTATTAATATAGCTGCCCTTTAAATCCTGGGAGGAGGGAGACGTGACATGAAACATGGCACAGAATCGCTACTCGTGGAGACATTTCAATACGACAACAACTGTCATTTCGTTCTGTGTTGGACAGGAAACACAGTTATGAACTGTCCCAAAATGAAATTACTCCATCAAAAGCATAAACACCGCCGCGTTTAGTCGAAGTACCAGCCACGCCTATCGCCTTTCGGAGATTTTTATTGAGTGTTATGTCTGAACTTACTAGGGAAGGTCGTCAGGTCGAAGTGGCCATTTGTGATGAGATGTAGATCACTAGACGTGGTTTTGGACGCTGATCTTGAATCTGCCTTCAAAATTTGCAAAGCGATTCTCTGAACGGAGTTATGGAGCCGCGTTTACCACGCAACAGGTCATGGGATCGGATCCCTGCTGAGCTTAACTTTTTTGCTTGTTGCGCAAACGTGGCAAAAAGTGATTTTGCCGTCACTACTACTTCAGTTCTCACCTGAGCTTGTCTGAAGAAAAGTTTGCCTCCATTTATTACTGCGCTTGGACTCCTTGTAGAAGCACTGTAGTGCACTGTAGTCTACAAGGAGTCCAAGCGCAGTAATAAATGGAGGCAAACTTTTCTTCAGACAAGCTCAGGTGAGAACTGAAGTAGTAGTGACGGCAAAATCACTTTTTGCCACGTTTGCGCAACAAGCAAAAAAGTTAAGCTCAGCAGGGATCCGATCCCATGACCTGTTGCGTGGTAAACGCGGCTCCATAACTCCGTTCAGAGAATCGCTTTGCAAATTTTGAAGGCAGATTCAAGATCAGCGTCCAAAACCACGTCTAGTGATCTACATCTCATCACAAATGGCCACTTCGACCTGACGACCTTCCCTAGTTAGACATATACAATGAGCAAGTCCGCCATCACAAATAATGCCACTAAATGTGTCTAAAAAGAACGCAAGGGGGTTGCGAGTTGTCAATGGTCCTGCCTTCTTGGGTCTAACTCCACCTACAACGTGAAGATATCTATCTCAACTGCCCTATCGCTGCCTGGTGCCTCCACGACTGCGCGGCCTATCGTCTCTGGCGTCCTCGCTATACATCTCGAAAAACCGAGCTTCAGCTTGCCACCTTTTTAGACGATCATCTATCAGTATACTCCTTATCCCTGAGAAGTAGGCGTGACATTTGGACACGGCACAGAATGGGTTACTCGTGGGATATTTCAATACGGCACAGCTGTCATTTTGTTCTGTATTGGACATAAATATGAATGTCCCAAAATGAAACTATTCCACCAAAAGCATAAACACCGCCGCGTTTAGTCGAAGTACGCAGCCACGCCTATCGCCTCTCGGAGATTTTTAGTGTATGTCTTAGAAATATACAATGAGCAAGTCCGCCATCACAAATAATGCCACTAAATGGTCTGAAAAGAACGCAAGGGTGTTGCGACTTGTCTGGCCCTGCCTTCTTGGGTTTAACTCCACCTACAACATGAAGATATCTATCTCAACTGACCTATCGCTGCCTGGTGCCTCCCACGCGCGCCTATCTTTTCTGCGTCTCTCTATACCCTGGACCAATCGTATATCTCGAATCAACCGAGCTTCATTTGCCACCTTTTTGGACGAATTTCCCACTTTCTTCTACCTTTCGGAAGTGAGTAATCCATTTGTGCTGCATCGTCTGTTCTATGGTTATTCGCTCTGCTGCATCCGTCTTCAACAATTTCTTGATGAGATCTTTAGCTAAAATAGATGCTAATAGATGGTGATGATGATGACACAGAAACGAGAGGGGACAAGTGAAAGGAAGGAAATCTTACCAGCTTCGGAGACGCAATCCCATTCGGGTGACGGGAAAGTGTACTGACCCGACTTGATCTTCGCCTTCATTCGATTTTTTTTTTTTTTTTTTTTTTTTTTTTTTTTTCATTCCTGGTGACATTGGAAGTCCATTTTGAGAAAAGAACGGGGGATATCCACATAATCTGTTCAAGGATGTATATAAAGCATGGTCGAACCAGATTATCTCACCGAGCAATGCACAAAGGGAATACAGTGCGCATGACGGGGCGTGTCGTTTGAATGGTTCTGTCGCAGCGCCAAGCCTGTTTTCCACCAGTTGTTGAAGCGAAAAAGCGACAGAACTGCATATTATCGCTCTATCTCAGTCGTTTTCCCACAATGCCTTGTCGCTCACACCGCTTCAACAGCTAGTGAAAACTGACACCAAAAACCCTCCGACGCGTCCCTTCAACGCGAGACAAAACACTCCTACAATTTGTCAAATTTTCTAACAATTTTCAAAAAACGTACAATATGTACATAACGACGCCTACAGACCAGAGATCGCACGACTTGTCATATTTTTCAGCGCCCAAGACCTTAACAGGTTATTATGAAGAACAGTCCGAGAAGGTATCTGTGAATTTCGACAAAACTCACTTCAGGAGCACAGTAATATGGTGTATAGCATGCAGTGGCAAGGCCAAGTGGTTCCGAATCGTCAGTCCTTTTCGCGAATCCAAAGTCGGTAAGTTTTAACCGTGCGTTAGGTGAATTATCTCTGAAATACGAAATAATTTCACCTGGCGTAACCAGATCGACTAAACAAGCAAAAAAGATTAATTGATGTACTGTACAACATGAAAATTAGAATGACGTCTTAGCTACCGATTCAGAAAGGAAAGGAGAGGTAATCTGAGAAATCCCCGCTTATTAATGTCGTATGAATTTCTTCTTATAATTGCACAGTTATACATGGAATATGGGGGCAGTCGGCTTGGTAGGAGGGAGGGGAAGGGGTGGGCAGCATTATGCGCTTTTGCTGCTTAACAAGACCTGTGAAACCTTGTGAGGTCCCAACGTGATACCAGTCAATGTTTGTGGGACCGCTTGCCATCCTGGAAAGAATACCTGTGAACTCGTACACTCTTGAAAAAGCAATGAACGCGGCGATGACAACTATTAAAAGTGCAGAATGCCCCCTCCCCAAAGCCAAACTTTGTCGGAATACCATATATGAAAGCAGCCACATAAAAGCAACAGAGTACAACTACCTGATTAGTATACAGCGGTTTTCCCGGAGAAGAAGACTGGGAAATTCTCAGAAAATTGGAGAAAGTAGGTAGGAGATTAAGAAAACTTAGGAAGATTGCAGCTAGAATTAGCAAGGGGGTCTTATCAGGGGAAAGTATTGAGCGCGGGTGTTTGACACCGCCGTTTGTCCCACTCTGTGAAATAACTTCAAAACTTTGGACAAAAACACCTAAGAAAACTTACACATATAGTAAATTCTCTGGTTTAATATCACGATGAGCAATATTCATTCTGTGAAGATGAGCAACGGCAGAACATATCTCGTACATAATTCCTGCAGCTTCCCTTTCGGTAAACGCCTGTTGTCCGCGTTCCTTAATCAATATGCATTTTCTCGTCATGTTATTCTCCACGTGTGTGTGAAAAACGATAGATTTGATAAGAGTAGGAAATGCAATGTAAAAGGATGCTAGCCCATTCAAAGCTAAGTATGCGAATTATTTTAAATGGTCAGGACAAAAAGCCAAGCTTGTGAGTATGAGAGTATTGTACGTATAAAAGAAAAGAACTGAATAATGCGTAAAAACTTCTATTCAAATTGAAAAAACAGCTATCGCCTCAACCGCTATCGAAAGGGTTCTACGCTATGTTATTAAACAGGCTGGCGCAGTTCAGCGACCGGAGAGAGAGAGAGAGAGAGAGAGAGAGAGAGAGAGAGAGAGAGAGAGAGAGAGAGAGAGAGAGAGAGAGAGAGCATTTTGCAATTTCGAAGCTTCCCATATTCGTGTTCATTGCTCAACAAGACTCGACAGGTATTCTTTACAGGAGTTAGTGAGTAATTTTTGCAATTTTTGACCAGTATCTTTACGGCCTCATCAGATTTCACAGATCTCTACTTGATGACTTCACTTGCAATGGAAAGCAACAAAAGAGCAAAATCCACCCACCCCACCCCTCCTATTTCGCCCAACTGCGCCAACAGGCTTTCCACTGATGATCATGGATGTGAGAGAGTGGTGATGTGGCGGCAACTGATCTGCTTAGTGCGTGGTGCCCATATCCTGGATCGGTTCCACCCCGGGCCTACTTAGACGCCTACCTTTCGAGAACGGTAAATTGGTGCCAAGTTCTTCCTCAACGATAGACCGCTTACTTGTAGATGGCCCAGAAGTCGTTCACGCCTTCGCGACCTTTAGCTCAAGAAAGAATCAATCAACCGCAAGAGCTTCATCACATTTATACTTTCACAGATCATGAACTCTCGTGAAACTTTACTGCGTTTACTCCATTAATCTCTGCAATAACATCGGGCAAGCGAAATAAAATACTATACGTTCCAATTACAGCTGCGTGGTATTCAGCACAGAGCACGTCCTACGGCTTCAGCAAATTTTGCAGAACGACCCTCTCTACGGTTTCCTTCCCTGACGCAACCCCTTTTCTCACCCCTCGCCCCACCTTCCATATTCCTAAACTTTCCCAACCTCCCATCAAACTGCCGTCGATCAGAGAATGACTACAGAGCGAAAGGGAAACGGAGAAAACGAGGAAAATCATAGGCCAATTTTCGCTGGAAACCAAATATGATTCCCTCGCCGGGGATACGATTCCCTCGCCAGGGATACCCAAACTACGTGTTTTGATTCAGCATTTCAGTCCCTCTTCTTAACAAGGCCAATAACTACCTCGGAATTCCCACGTTTCACATAATCGTTTCCAATTTCCAACCACTCACCTGAATGCGATTAAAAAGCTCGCCTCCTCGCATACTTTCCATGACAACGAGTAAACACTGCACATCATTATAGGAATTCTCATAAACATCAACTATTTCCACAATATTTGGATGCCCACTTGCTATATAGTGCAAGTTTACCTTAAAAATACAGCTCAAAAATGTAAATAAGCGTAATAAAACTCAAAATAGAAGACAAACAAACAGCATCTGCTTTCAAAGTAATCAAATTTAATACATACCTCTCTCCGTGCTTTCGGTATATCGCGAAGCACCTTGAGAGCAAATTTTTCTCCAGTAATACGATGTTCGCATTCGACTACTTTTCCGTTGATTCCGACTCCGAGTACCTTGAAATTGCCAGTTTTTACCCAAAAAGGTAAATCAGCTTCCACTGCAGCTTGCTGCACAATATGTTACACCCGCTACTCAAGTTTTACAGAATTTCGTGGCTGGTCGTTTTAAAAAGAAATATTATCTAACACCGAATGCTTTTCATCAGAAATCCAAAATCCATTTGCAGCGATTCAAATGAAAATGGAAGCGTGCTGGGCAGTTGCAAGCAATAGCAGGCGGTGCCAGGGCAGATGTAGGTTGAAGAGCTCCCAGTGGACGGTCGCGCTTGGTCGTCATTCGTTTAGTTCATTTATCCGCAAAATTGCACTTAAGCAAACTGGTACTCCAAGTGGAACTCAAATGCGCAGAACGTACGAAAAAAGCGACCAACAAATAGCAATTATCCCTTTCGGGGCATGTCATGCCACGGAAAAATATTGGCAAAACACGACCCTTCTCCCTCAAACGTTCCTTCTGTCGCGTGACCATATCCGACCCTAATCCTCCCTCTCGCAAAGATCACCAACATACTGTGCCACGAATCCTTTTCATGCATGAAAGCAGTTGCAAAGATTAAAGCAGTTGTAAACGGGATATCGGGTAAGGTCAGAGGGTTAAAACAGTGTCAAGAAAAAGTGGTCTAGAATAATCGGGAAGGCGAGAAATAGTAGTGAAGAACGGAAGAGCCACACTCTGAAACATACACGCAACCAGAAGCCGGTGCAAGTGGATAGCTCGGAAAATAAATGGAGGAAAGAAAATGCTTCAAAGTTGTGGTGTCAAACAGGAACCCCATCTCCCCATACAATCTGCTCCTTGGTCCATTATATTCCGAAATCAGCTCACTTCAGACGGCAAACAATAATGATGGTAAAGTTGACTACTAGGAATTTCTATAATAGATATCTTAGCTCAAGAACCTTTTGTATATGTGACTGAAAGGGGGGGAGGGCATGTAGGAATTCCTTGAGTTTGAAGGCAAGCGTAGACTTACCCTCGAGGATGACCCTTTCCACAAGCGGCATGAGTGGATCCGCAGCTGCACTGGCGCGACTTTCCTCTGCTCAGAAGCTCAGAAGACAAGGGAATGAGGCCGGGGGTACTGATACCGTCTATCTATCTCCGCCCGCGCTATCTTCAACACCAAAGATCGTCGACATCAAAACCCCGCAACGAAACACGCACTTAGCGATAGAGCACAAGCAGAAGAGAAAGGGCGCACACAAGTAGCGCGTTTGGCTATGTCTGGGCATCTAGCTGGCAGTGCGGCAACGCTGGTGTAGTGTGGAACGACACCCAGGTATCACGGCCCTCTAGACCCTTTACCGTGCAGAGGGGAAAGTGGCACGCTACCACAGCGTAAAACGATCACCTCGCACGTAGCAAGGACCAGGATCCATAAAGGATGAGCGCGGAATTATTTCTTCTAATCCTTCCCCAACCCCGACTTGTTCCTGATGCTTTGTGACCACACTTATAGCATAGCATAATGCAGTTTATTTGCAAAAAGTAAAAAAAACAACGCAAATGTGGATGTACCTTCCGACTGATGCGATAGTCTTGCGTTACCGGATATGTGTGAAAGCCATATCAGCCGAATCTTTATCCGCTTTGCGATTGCCAGAGGATGATCTTGACTTTTTCCGTTTTCCCTGAAAAAAACTAAATGTTCGGCAAAAAAAAACCAGTGGCAGACTACAAAATAGTTGGTTAATCAGCGAAAGGACGACACACACTCAGCAGTAGGACACATTTGGGAGGGCGCGGTTTGGCGACGGGGGGGGTATTTCGCCTTTTTTTTACTTCCCATGGACTCGTCGAGCCATCAAGTAGAAACCTGTGAAACCATTCGCCACGAAATGATAACAGGCAAGGACTGAGCCACTTGTCAACCCTTTTACAGGTACCTCTCAACACTTGTAAGGGCGCGTTCACACTCTACGTCAGCGTTCTGCGCGACTAGGAAAATATAGATATCGATCTAGCGACTTGAAGGTACGCCAGCGTTTTCGTCGACTACCCGCGCAAATTACAAAACTACCCGCGAAACGCTCAAAAGGTGGGTGGACGCTCAAATCGCTAGATCGATATCCATATTCTTCTAGTCGCTCAAAACGTTGACGCAATGTATAAACGCTGCCTCAAACAATGGAATGCCACACGACGAGCTTGCTCCAGCTTCGTAAGAATTCCCGTTTTCACTGAGGAGACTGTAAACAGGAATAGCGAAGCAGCGAAAGTGCAAAACGCCCTTCCCGTTGCCAAACTGTGCAGAATTAGGTTGAAATCAAAAATCAAATCTGTAGTATTTGATCAAAAGAAGAACATAAATGCAAAACAAAACCGAAAAAAAACATATGTCACTGCAACAATAACAAGATGAATCGCACATATCAAATAAATGACGTCATCGCACATGCAGACACGGGCACACACACACACTTCGGTACCTTTATTGATGGTGACTTTTGCTTGTCCTCTGGCCGAGTCGATTCGATATTACCCATCAACAATAACTATAATGCAAAACAAGCAGAGAACTTCACACCACCACAACACTGCACAATTTTTTCGGATTTTTTTTGTTCACAGAAACTAAAATGTGCAAAAATCACCACACAACAACGAAATCAGTCGAAGGAGAGTGACTTCAAAGACTCCCCCCCCCCCTCAAGCCAATAACTGTCTGTAAGCCGTAACTGTCCATCTGACTGATTTGATAAAATTGACTGGAGCGTGCCGTTCCACTATTTTTTCTGGAGTGACGTGCATTCTCCTCTGCAGTAGCGGTTCCTGATAAGAAGGGTGGGCGCAACAGACAAGCAGTCCCGCACTTTAGCTGTTGTGAGATAAATGACGTGATATTTGACGTCACGTGACACGTTAATGACAAGTCTTAAGACTACATCGGTAATGATGTAATACGGGTTTACTCGTGCCATGTGACATATCCCTAGCCCTTAATGTGTAACATAGTGCTCACATAGTTGGGGAAGGGGGGGGATAAATCGGTCAAGGGCTCATTCCTCCCTGAAGACGATTCCCGCGATCAAGTTTAACGAGTAAGGGCGTTCGATTATAAAACAATAGTCGATGAATTACTTTACAATTGAGAGAGGATCAAAAAACAATGAGAACATCTCGAACGAAACCCTCCCTGACAGTCACACAGCCTCATTGTACGAGTTCTCCAGATTTGCTGGCGACTCGACAGCCCTGCGGCCTCTGTGCAACCCCTAGCTCATAAATCGTTCTCGCATCATCTAGTACTATAAAATAAAGAAAAGAAAAGAAAAACAAAAGCAGTGGTACAGAAAATAGCTTTCAAGAACTCTGTGCATTTAATTAGGACTACGGTTAGCAATACAGTCCGAGGTTTTACAACAAATCGACTAAATCGCTGCTGGATTCGAGCAGCGCCTAAACGCATCTTCCCTTGTGGAGTGGACTGCTATTAACATAACGTATCAAGTAAAGGAAGAACAGTTCGTAGCTCGCAAAAGAGTCGACAAGCTAGAATTCTCATCGATGAACATTGGAAATCGTCCTACGATGCTCCAAGCAACACAATGCATGTACGTAATTACGCGTGTTAGTCGTTGTCTTGCAGAGTGAAAAGAATAGAGGATACAATGGACACGCGTCTGTGGCCTTGTTATTTCGCCTTTTCGAGTGACGAAAGTAGTACACTCTCTGCGAGTGCTGACTCGAATGCAAAATACAAGAAGATTTCGCGAGTCACTAGATCGCGGGAACTGTCTTCAATCAAGGGTTAACCTTGGAGAAAACTGTGAGTTTTCCGCAGAACTATCCCTGACGACAGTGGTCGTCTGCGCTCTAAACCTAGGCCAACCATTGAATTATATGTTCAGGAAAACAGGCGGAATACAGTATCCTAAACTGCGCGTAAATTTAAGTGCCTTGGAGCATCTGTACACTCACGCATAAGACACAATTAATTTCGCGGTTTTCGGAGAACTGTATAGCGCCTGTTTCTGAACTTATGACCGTGAAAGCCTTTGAGGGGAAAGGGTGCAAAAGCACGGCCAAATACCTCCCCCTCTCCACCAACTACATTAGCACCTATATGCTGAACCTGCGCCAAAAAAGCAGACCCATTCGCTTTCACAATATAAAAATGAATGGTTTCATGCACTCACTGGAGAAAACTGATTAAACGATTGCTGCGAAAGAAATATCACGTTACAAATAGAAGAAATGCAGTGCACAGCAGCTGGGAGAAATAACTCAGAGTGGGCTGTTCAGGTTTCCGAACTTTGCATCTGCTTTTGAAAAACGTTTTCGGTTTTGACTTTTCCTGTTATTTTTAAGTGCGCCGCCATATGACTGGTCGAGAGCTGTTTTTTTTTGGAGAAAGTGGGGAATTTTTGGAAGGGAATGGTAAGCAGGACATGGGGTGGGAAAGGGAGGAGGGTAGTGCCAGAGCAGACTTTGAGAGAGAGGGTCCTGTTTTGCGGAACTTTCCCCACCGGCTGGACGTGGCCTGGTCTGAAGTGCAATATATCGAACTGTGTGATGCTGACAGGGGAAAAATTATCCAGATGATTACAAAATGCCCCCCCCCCCAATTCCCAACCCCTCAGATGGACTTGTGCCAGAGATTGGTCCAAAAAATTGTTTAAGTAATTTTTCCCGTTGTAGATATAGTGGTGAATCCGTGGCCCTCTTGCTTCGAAAATAAATAC